TATCTATAATTAATATTCACTGAATTTTACATGCGGCCCTTTGGTGATTTCGAGGGCTGCACTTTCAACAAGAAAGTTGACCACCACGGGCCAAAGGCTTAGCTCACACTTGTGGCTGAAGGGTGGTAAAAACATGTGGTTAGGCCGCATTTTACTAAGTACCCTCACCCTCCATCCCCACTCCTCCCCATGAGCTTCAGTGGAAGACAGGTAAGATATCAGCCCTAATTTCTCATTGGAGACCCCTTATTTCTTATTAAAGAGAAAGATAAAAGAATTAAAAAAAATATTATATCATATAGAGCAGTGTTTTTCAACCTTTTTTGTGCAAAGGCACACTTTTTTCATGAAAAAAATCACGAGGCACACCACCATTAGAAAATGTTAAAAAAATTTACCTCTGTGCCTATATTGACTATATATAAAGTAATTCTCTTGAATAGGAATCAAACACAAAGAAATTATTTTATAATTACTTTATTATGAAATAATAAAGTATTTTATAATTGGACCCGGGGGCCGGACCAAGAGTAGATGAATGATGTGTATGTGTCATCCATAGTAAGTATAGTAATATTCCCCCATAGTAAGCATAGTAATTAATCCCCCATATAGTAATTCATCCACCATAGTAATTCATCCCCCATAGTAATTCATCCCCCATAGTAATTCATCCCCCATATAGTAATTCAGCCCCCATATAGTAATTCATCCCCCATATAGTAATTCATCCCCCATATAGTAATTAAATCCCCCAAACCTAACATCCCCCATAGTAATTCATCCCCCATAGTAATTCATCCCCCATATAGTAATTCATCCCCCATAGTAATTCATCCCCCATAGTAATTCATCTCCCCCATATAGTAATTCATCCCCCATAGTAATTAATCCCCCCATATAGTAATTCATCCCCCATATAGTAATTCATCCCCCATAGTAATACATCCCCCATATAGTAATTCATCCCCCATAGTAATTCATCCCCCATATAGTAATTCATCCCCCATACTAATTCACCCCCCATATAGTAATTCATCCCCCATATAGTAATTCATCCCCCATAGTAATTCATCCCCCATAGTAATTCATCCCCCCTATAGCAATTCATCCCCCATAGTAATTCATCCCCCATATAGTAATTCATCCCCCATAGTAATTCACCCCCCATATAGTAATTCACCCCCCATATAGTAATTCATCCCCCATATAGTAATTCATCCCCCATAGTAATACATCCCCCATAGTAATTCATCCCCCATAGTAATGCATCCCCCATATAGTAATTCATCCCCCCTATAGTAATTCATTCCCCATATTAATTCATCCCCCATATTAAGTCCCCAAGCCCCCCCTGTGTCAATTCACTTACCTTTGCGCCGCGCGTTCCTCTCGCCGTTCCGGTGTAGGTCTCCTATGAGGATCTGTCCCCCTCGACGTATCTGCGCATGTGCCAGTTTCAGGCATTAGCAGCCGATCGGCAATCTCCGGCACATGCGCAGATACGTCGAGGGGGACAGATCATCCTGACAGTATCACGCTCCGTGGGCCGGATTAAAAGGTCCGCCGGGCCGTATACGGCCCGCGGGCCGTAGTTTGCCCGTCTATTTGTGAGCCGAGGCAATTTTTCCCACGGCACACCAGACAATATCTCATGGCACACTAGTGTGCCGCGGCACAGTGGTTGAAAAACGCTGATATAGAGGACTGTTTGTCCTTTATGAATATAAAGTTCTAGTGGAAAAAATGTAAAAAATAAACCTAAACACATAAAACCCCCTCCTCCCCCCAAACATTGGCTGCAGCCACTAATCAACAAACGTTTTCCAGTGTATCTATTGATCAATTTCTGATGAACAGGGAGGGCCACATACAGATCGAAATTTGTCCAGTCCCTGCTAAACCAGCTGAATTTTCATTGGCCTAGGCCCAGCTTAACATTTCCAGACTTAAAAAAAAAAAAAAAAAGTTTTTTCATGAAGATACAGAAGATCGTTTGTTTATGAGAGTCATGGTGGCTCATTCCTCTTTATACAGATCTGGGAACAGTGATGATGACACATAAGCCAGCCATACACGGGTCAAATTCCAAAAGAATTTTCTTTCGAAAATCTTTTCTAAGAATTTTCATTTGAATTTCGCACCATAAGTGGGGCACAGCAACAGCTGATTTTTGAGCAACCATCAAATTTGAGTGATCGGGCATGTTGGAAATTTTTTTAAACTAACAAATTTATAATCAATGATGGGAGAATCGTGCAAGAAATGTAATCAAAAAAGAAATGAACATGAGCTGTGACCTGGAAAGAAAAGAAAATTCTTGGCCATGAAAATTCTATTCTGTAGCAACATGAGGTGAAATTAAAGGCTTGGTTGGTTGAATTTTTAAATCAACGGTAGCACCTTCAGATTACAAAATGCACAAAATGTCCGATTTTCGAAAGAAAATTTGTTCGGAATTCGACCCATGTATGGCAGGGTCAGATCTAGCCTATCTGATTTGGGAGTGCAGTAAAAAACAACAGGGACCATAATGTCAATAGTGTGACAGAGATGCATAGAACCCGTATTCCCTGTTCACTCAGCACGCTTCTGTACCACGGAGTCACAACCCGAAAGTAACATCTGACAGATAGTGCAGAGGCAGAAGGGGGGTGAATAGAGAGCACTAGTATGCATTAAGACGATTAAACAGAACCTGTGCCCCTATGTCAGGTGTCTTTATCAGAGTCCCTCCTTACATCAGGAATCCTCCTCAAACTTTCCTCTTTACATCAAGGTACCTATAAGAGTCCCCCCTTACATTAGGTCTCCTTACATCAATCACTTCAACAGAGTGCCCCCTTACATCAACTGTCCAGATTGCCCCCCTTACATCAACTGTCCAACGTGCCCCCTTACATCAGCTATCCCTATCAGAGTACCCACTTACGTTAATTGCCCCTCACAGACTGTTCCTTACATAAATTGCTTCAACAGAGTGCTTCCTTTCATCAACTGTCCCTATCAGAGTTCCCACTTACATCAAACTATACCTATCAGAGTTCCCCCTTACATCAACTGTCCCAATCAGAGTTCCCCCTTACATCAACTATTCCAATCAGAGTTCCCCCTTACATCAACTGTCCCAATCAGAGTTCCTCCTTACATCAACTATTCCTATCAGAGTTCCCCCTTACATCAACTGTCCCAATCAGAGTTCCCCCTTACATCAACTATTCCTATCAGAGTTCCCCCCGACATCAACTATTCCTATCAGAGTTCCCCCTTACATCAACTGTCCCAATCAGAGTTCCCTTACATCAACTATTCCTATCAGAGTTCCCCCTTACATCAACTGTCCCAATCAGAGTTCCTCCTTACATCAACTATTCCTATCAGAGTTCCCCCTTACATCAACTGTCCCAACCAGAGTTCCCCCTTACATCATCTATTCCTATCAGAGTTCCCCCTTACATCAACTGTCCCAATTAGAGTTCCCGCTTACATCAACTATTCCTATCAGAGTTCCCCCTTACATCAACTGTCCCAATTAGAGTTCCCTCTTACATCAACTATTCCTATCAGAGTTCCCCCTGACATCAACTATTCCTATCAGAGTTCCCCCTTACATCAACTGTCCCAATTAGAGTTCCCGCTTACATCAACTATTCCTATCAGAATTCCCCCTTACATCAATTGTCCCCATCAGGTCTCATGGATCAGTTGGATGCACTCTCAACAGATCTGAGGGGGCACAACTGAAATCTGGGGGTGCCTCTCCCACCCCAGCACTCCCCTAGATCCAGGCCTGATGAATGGCCTGCACTAGCCATATAATACATTCTGAGGAAGACATCAATGCCCAGCAATTTATATGCAGCCCAGGAATCGCATTTCTTCAGGATTTCCTTTGTGAAGACTCTTGTATGAATGTCTTTAGTTTGAATTTTAATCTCTCCTATATTTTTCAACTGAGGAAACTGCCACCTTAGCCTCAGTTTGATCTGCAACTGCCATGGTGCTGCACATGTGATCAGGTGACACCACCAGCCATCTGATGGTTTGACAGTTTGGTTGAGAACACAAGCAATTGTGACAGCGATTCCTGGCATGCCAGGAATGTAACACTTTTTGTAAGCTGTTAAATGGGTGAGTTTAGTTCCACTTTAAGAATCTCAAGTAAAATTCAGTTGATTAAATCATACCTTTCACACTGTTTACAGTAGGACTGGGAGCCGTGTACTGAGCTGTGGGAATGTCAAGGTCACTGATTGTGTTCTCACATTGTGCAGGCGGCTGTAAATGTTACAATTATTAGGTTTTGCACCCATGCTGAGTGTACCTATGCATCCACATGCCTAAAAACATAGCTGCCTTATTGTAAAGAAATGCTGTGCATTCATGTATGATTCACATGTGATCCGGCTGCAGTGCGATTTCAGCCCATTCTTTTGAATGGGCTGTAATCACGATGGACCGCACCAAAAGTCGTGCATGCACTACTTTTAATGCAGAACAACTGGATCCTATGGTGCTTCTGTACCATGCAATTCAGTGAAGGGAAACGCACTGCGACCTACGTTTGGGGTGATTAGCATTGCGCTGCAGGTCACAAGTGCAGTGTGTTTTGTATGCGATTGATGGAAGCACACACGGAACGAGGGTTTCCTGCAGTATGTCCTGGTGTGAACTTATGTGTTTTTTTCCAGCATAACACAAGGCAATGCAGGGCAATGCAGGTGTTCTTTGTTGCATGTGTGGGTGCATTTGTTTTGGTCATATATGTGAATTGAGGGCCATTATATTAGTGACACTGCATCACACCCTTTCCTGTAGCACATGCAGTGCAGTGTACCTGCAGCTTTCCTGCGGGATAGCTGCACTGAGCCATAGGCTTCTATCATATCCTAACATGCACCACACCTGCAAGATCTATGGCAAAGCACAGCTAACCTGCAGGATATAATAGAAGTCTATGGCTCAGTGCAGAGGGTAGACTGCAGCACATCAGTTTGAACCAGGGGCGGATTGACCATTTGGAAACTCGGGCACTGCCCGAGGTCCCGGGGTCAGTAGGGGGCCCCATGAGATGCCACTGGTACCTTTTTCATAGCGTTTTTTGAGTTTGGGCAAGGACACAGGGGCCCCATGATCCCCTATTGCCCGGGGGCCCCATGAGTTGTCAGTCCGCCCCTGGTGTGAACGCAGAATTACAGGGGGCTCTGGACAGTAAGGGCTTGTTTACATTTGCGGTTGGGGGGGTGTTAAGACCCCATAGTTGAGACGTGTTTTTACCACCACCACCCCAGGAGGCACCGATGAACTGCATTAATAGGTGACACTGACCTGCACCGATGGGGCTGCACTTATCAAGGCACTGACAATCAGTACCCTGATTATTTGTATATGCAATGTACTGAGAGCCTTTCCAGTTATTGGCTCTCTTTTCCTCACAGACACAGCACGTGAGGAAAGGACTACCGATAATTGGAAAGTCTGTTTATATGTGATCAGCTTTGATTGGACCCAAATAATCAGATGGTAAAGGGCCGCTGTGATTGACCCTTTACCCCGAGCTGTGATCAGCTGTGTTCAGAGGATACAGTGGTCACAGAGCATGCCCGATGCGTGCCCCCAGGGTGGGTGCTAGACTACTTTGTATCCTAGGCAAGACCAACTACTTGCGCCCCCTCCCCAATAAATAATTACATTTTAACCACTTGCCCTCCAGCAAATTTATCCCCCTTCCTGACCAGGTCATTTTTTGCATTACGGCGCTGTGTTACTTTAACGGACAATTGCGCAGTCATGCAATGCTACACCCCAAATTAAATTTATGTCCTTTTTTCCCCCATGAATTGTGCTTTCTTTCGGTGGTATTTGATCGCCTGTGTGACTTTTATTTTTTGCGCTATAAAACAAAAACTACAATTTTGAGAAAAAAAATATATTTTTGACATTAAACATGTCCAGTAAAAAAATTTAAAAAATCAAATTTCAGCATAAATTTAGGCCAAAATGTATTCTGCTACACGTCTTTGCTAAAAACAATTCCCAATACGTGTAATTTAATTGGTTTAAGTAAAAAGTTATAGCATTTACAAATGGTTGTATATATACTGGGATTTTTAAAAAAAAATTTAATTTTTACTAGTAATGGCGGCGATCTAGCGGTACTGCGACGGGCATTCTGACACTGGGGGGAACTGAATCCCCAGTGATCTGTGGTAATAAAAAGCACTGACACTGTACTAATGGCACTGGGCAGGAAGGGGTTAACATGTGGGGCGATCAAAGGGTTAACTGTGTGCTGTTTTACTGTGGGCTGTGACTGTGTGCTTCACTGTAAGAACACTGCTTTGCATACCTGTGCTGTGCAAAGTCATGCAAAGCAGTGTGCAGGAGCTGACAGTTAAGGGAACTGTTTTGTTTACTAACAGTTCTACCCCCACCCCACCCCTGTCGGCGTGTCCAGAAATGCAAAATCACGTATATATATATATATGTATATATATATATATATATATATATATATATATGTATATATGTGATTTTGCTCACCCATGCCGCCCTGTAGCAGTATATCTGCAATAGGGCAGACGGGAAGCTGTTAAATAATATTAAAGACAAAATATAAATATATATATTAACCAAATATAATTAACTGTATTAACTAATAAGACAGAGAAACAAAAAAAAAAAGAGACACAGTTACAAAATTCCACAGTGATCAACACCCGCCAGCCAGACTGAGTCTGAGAGGAACACTGGAAGGAGCTGCTACACTGGCCCCAGACACCCGGCATCTTCCTCTGTCCTCTGTCCTTTCTTCCCCCTTCACTCAGCTGAAGGATCATTCATGACATGGTGGCATCCCACAAGGTCAATCAGCATCTGCTCCCCTAACCCTGACCATTGTCCACCCACCTCTTCCTCCTGTCACCTCCATGACCCGCCATCCTCCTAGGCTTGGCTCACCTCTGATGGCTCCTGTCAGGGTGTGGAGTCCAGTCTGCAGCTCTCAGTGAGGACAGACGGCCTTCCAGCACTACACTGCTTCCCTCTCATACACATCGGGCCCCGATCGTCCTACTTACATAGGAGTAACCAGAGCCCCCCCCCCCCCGCCTATTGATTGGCTCCATCTTTGTAGAGGAAGGCGGAGCCAGTGCTGGACACACCCCATTCAGTCACTAGCCAGCTCCCTGTTACAGCTGGAGGATCACGTGTGCCAGTGTGTGTACCAGAGATGTACGGACCAATCCCCCAATCAGAGACTGCTGACCGCCCGGGGTCCTGGGGTAATGTCATCACTTCCGATCCTAGGGGGAGCCAACACTTCACTACTATATGGAATACTGTTATACCAGTATGTACTAAATGATCATGTGTGTGGACAGGCTGTGAGACAGTTGTGCAGGGTAAAGATACCACCATTCTCTCATCATTCCCTGTGTATGAGGAGAGGGGGACTCTGCAGAGAAATGAAGAATTCATACAAGAGGTCCATAGGCCACACAGAGAGAGTGCCGGCCTGTGCTGCACCCAGGTGCCCATAGGTAGCAGTGCGCCTTAGGCGGCTGCCTAGGTTGCCTAATGGAAACAGCTGAACTGCATGACCCAGGGGGTGGGGTTCTGGGAGGATGTCCATAGACACCCTCCCCAAAGAAGCCAACCACACTGTAGCCGGGTTTTGGTTATAGCCCAGTAAGCATGTGGCTAAATGTAAAAATATAAAAAAAACACTGGATGGCAGGGTTTTTAAGGAACACCTCCCCCCCCCCCCCCCCCCCCCCCAGCAGTCTCTTCTGCCATAACTGCTTCATCCTGCCTGTCAGCAGGCACCCAGTCTGTGCCATGGTGATGTGACTCCCGTGCGCATGTGTTGGAGTGACACTGTTGAGGACTGGACCCTTCAAGTGGCTGAACAAAGTGAACCTGAAAGGAAGACGGTGAAGATGAAAATACCCCTGCTCTGATAGCGCAGAGTTTATTACCACTTTAATAGCCATGCATATACTGACCTGCAACAAAATATGGGACTGACAGTGGCAAAGGAAGAACTGTCCCAGCATTGGTGAGAGGAAAAAATGCCCTTGTGTCAGTGGTGTCGCTGAAAGTGAAAAATGCCCCTGCCCCAGTGTTGTCACTAAAATGCCCCTGTGTTGGTGGTGTCAATGGAAGGAAACAGTGCCCCTGCATTGGTGCAGTCATTGGAAAGAAAAAATGTCTCTCTGCCAGTTGTGTCACTGGAAAAAATGCTCCTATGTTGATGCCTTCAGTGGTACAAATAAATTCCCCTGTGTCAGTGGTGTCAATGGAAGTGAAAATTGCCCCTGTGTCCGTGGTGTCACTGGAAGCAAAACATTTCCCTGCACCACTGGAAGGGAAGAAATGCCTCTGCATCTGTGGTGTCATAGAAAGGAAAAAAATTGTGTCAACGGAGGTGAAAAATGCTCCTGTGTCAGAGGTCTTACTGGAAGGTCACACAGAAATGTCTCTGCACAGATGATACCTCTGGAAGGAAAAAATGCCCTGGTGTCTCTGAAAAGGAAAAATGTTGCTGCACCAGTAGTGCCAATGTCCCTGCATCAGTGTTGGCAGTGAAATAAATGCCACTGAGTTGGTATCCTGATATGAGTTCTGAACAAAGGAATGCCACCTTATAAAACCACTGACAATTGCTACATTGTGTGTATTTGTTTGGTGTCTATACACTATACCTTCTCTCTCACATTCTGTATACAGTATATCTTGTTATATCAAATAACAATAACAAAAACTATTGGAACAGAAACGTGTGACAAAAATATTGTGTTCATTCACACTATCAGGAGTGACCTGTGTTTTTCTGCACTGAATAAACGCAGGTCACTGTTAGGACCAGGGGTGGACTGACCATTTGGAAACTCGGGCACTGCCCGAGGGCCCGGGGTCAGAAGGGGGCCCCATGAGATGCCCCTGGTACCTTTTTCATAGGCTTTTTTGAGTTTGGGCAAGGACACAGGGGCCCCATGATCCCCTATTGCCCGGGGGCCCCATGAGTTGTCAGTCCACCCCTGGTTAGGACATCTAGAAAATAATTGTTTTCTATGTGCCCCATTCGCAGCACAATGCTGGTGTGATGTGCGGTGCGATACGCTGTGCAAAAATGCAGCATGTCTACATTTTTCTGCAGTGCACCGGGTCACCGCACAGTAGTGGAACGCACTGAGCAGCTGTGTACTGCAGTGACAGGAATGAAGGTACTTCACGAAATTAAAGAAAAGAAAAAGGAAAGCAGAGTACCCTGGTTTGAGCACTAGAGTGTTTTTTAAGAATATATGCATTTCAGATCTGTGCATCCACTCCTGCCTGCATGTCAAATTTTGACGTGATTGTGTTCATGCAGCCGCTGTGTGCATTCACATCTATAGGTTGCCTGCACACAGCTTGCTGCACATGCAGGTGCAATATTAAGGGAGGCTCGCAGAATAGTTATCAGCGCCCATCAGAACAAAGCCGAATCTCGAGACCTTTTTGTATACAAATGTTTGTAAAAGCAGCAGATCTTTTATTTTATAGGACTCCATTCACATCAGTGTGAATTGCTTTTTGTAAGTGGGGCAGCCCATTCATTTCAATGGTCTTCCATATCAGCAGAAACAAGAGTAGGGTGGAAATTCCTGAACCCTTTTTTTAAAATTGCACCGCATAGAATCGCATGGTGCTGCGGCACCACACAGTTTTGTGCACACAATAATATATATATATATATATTTTTATTTATATATTTCAGGTACTTATATAGCCCTGTCAATTTTCGCAGCGCTTTACATATATATTGTACATTCACATCAGTCCCTAACGCTCACGGGGCATACAATCTAAGGTCCCTAACTCACATTCATACATACTGGGGCCAATTTAGACATGATTCAATGAACCTACCAGCATGTCTTTGGAGTGTGAGAGAAAACCGGAGTACCTGGAGGAAACCCACGCAGGCACAGGGAAAACATGCAAACTGCAGACAGGTGATGCTGTGGTTAATATAGGCGATTTGCGGATGCATGGGGGTGCCATTTGGAATTAAAGTGGTTCTAAACTCAATATTTTTTTTTTAACTCAATGCATTATCTACACTAAGCTAAAAAAACAACCCACTACCTATCCTACCCACCCCACTCCCATCCCTAAACACTTACCTGTCTGAGTCACTGATCCAGTGCAATTCTGGCAGTAGCACCACTCTCCTTCCTCTTCCTAGTCTCACAGGAGACACTGAGAGCATTGGGTGCCATAGGCTCCTGCTGATGTCAGTCAAACTCCTGTGAGGAGGGAAAGAGGGTTGTGGCTTACCGGCTCTGTGTAAGTCTATGGATGCACACAGCCTGGCTCAGGGACGCCTGACTTGCTGAGGGGTACGTGCAGAAAGGAGGAGTTGACAGCTCCAGCATGGGACTGAAAAAGAGCCGGCACGAGACTGTGCACAGAGCAGGGAGCTATAGCATCTTTTATATTTTAATTAAAAAAACAAACTTTACAATCACTGTAATGGCACCTCCACATGTCTGCTCTAGAGCAGTTTGTATTGCCTATAGTTTGTAAACACACATGATTTTGCGAGTATTCCCAACCTGCACCAGGGCCAGATCTATGGGGGTGCTGGGGTGGGCTGTGCCCCCAGGCCTCTGTGCATGGGTCAATCTGCTGCAGACAGTTGATGTAAGGGGGCACTCTGATGGGGACAATCCATGTAAGGGGGCACTCTGATGGGGACACCTGTTGTAAGGGGACACTCTGATGGGGACAATCCATGTAAGGGTGCACTCTGATGGGGACACCTGTTGTAAGGGGGCACTCTGATGGGGACAATCCATGTAAGGGTGCACTCTGATGGGGACACCTGTTGTAAGGGGACACTCTGATGAGGGTAACTGGTCATATGTCAGGGGACACTCTGATGGAGACATCTGATGTAAGGGGTTACTCTGATGGTGAAAACTGATCATATGTAAGGGGACTCTGATGGGGATCCTGATGTAAGAGGTCACTTTGTTGAGAACACCTGATGTAAGGTGGCACTCTGATGAGAACATCTAATGTAAGGTAGCACTCTGACAGGGACCCTGATGTAAGGGGTCACTTTGTTGGGGACACCTGACGTAAGGGGTCACTTTGTTGGGGACACCTGATGTAAGGTGGCACTCTGGTGGGGACCTTGATGTAAGGGAGCACTTGATGGGGACATCTGATGTAAGTGGATACTCCGATGGGGCACTTATGTAAGGGGGCAAGGTAATGGGAATTTGATATAAAGGGGGACTCTGATGTGGACTCCTGATGTTAAGGGGGACCCAGTTAGAGACATCTGATGTAAGGGGGCACAGTTTCTGTTTAATCACCCTATTGTAATGATAGCCTAATACATACTAGTGTTTCCCAGGATGTGACACTGTGACAGGCTGTCAGTGACTCACACACAGTGTTGACATTCTGCCTCCTGACTTTTTTTTTTTACTGCCCCCCCCCCCAGTTCAGATAGGATAGATCCGGCCCTGACTTGCACTAGTGTGAACCTAGTCTGAGGTATTTATACAGCATGTACATCTATAAACTATTTATTGTCTGCAATGTATCTTAAGTTCGGTAAGATTTTCTTAAAGGGGATGTCCATTTTCATAAATCGTTTAAAGATTATTTTATTTTATAAATGAAGTTTCTAAATCTAGTGATACTAATAAAATAAATACAGCTAAAAAAAAAAGAGAGAGTTGCCATTGGTGATAGGTGACAAATCCTCTGACACCCTCAGGAAAGGAGAATGGTGATCTGCCTGGAGGGGGAGGAGACTCTAAAATCTTTCATCACTCAGAGGCCGGCGGTGATTGGCTGAGACGCGCCTCCCTGCACAGAGGCCAGACACACTCAGAGTGGCTCGTACGGAGTGATAGACACCAGGACCGGGAAACGTCGTACAGCTGCGAGCCTCTGTACCGGGGGTGCGGAGAATGGACCGGACAGACCGCTGATGTGGAGGAGTCCTGGGCATGGTGAGAGCGGGGGTGGAGGATCAGACACTGCATTGTGTATGGAGGAGGGGTGGGGGATCAGGAGATGGAAATCACCGACAGCTGACAACGTTCAGATCAGCCATTCTACAGAGAGTTCCCAGCATTCCTCATCAGGGATGGCTGGGACTTGTAGTGTTCCCTGGTATAGCAGCTGGTATCCCCTCCCCTACAGTGCACTGTGGGGGTCCTAGTTTTGTTTTCCAAAGTTGTACATTGCAGGATATTATCAGGATTGATTGTATACATTGTAATACTCATTGTTCATTGGCCAGTTATTGAAAGATCTGATCCTCATATACAGCCCTCTGCTCATTGGAGGATTACTGAAAGGATCTGGGGGAAAAATACAAAGTTCTAGTAGGGGGCACAGAAATCTTGAAGCTTTCAGAAGTTGGGTATTATTATTATTATTATTATTATTATACAGTATTTATAAAGCGCCAATAATTCGCTCAGCGCTGTACATTACAATGGGGGACAGAACATGTGACAGAACAATAACAATACAATGTGATACACAAGGGGTTAGAGGGCCCTGCTCTTTCGAGCTTACAATCTAGGACAGGGGTCATTGGCGATTTGCACGAATGAGTAATAAGGAGATGGCGGTCAGGGATAAATCTGTGGGAGGATTATTTCCAGGAAGTCGGGATATAAAAGACATGGGGTCAGGTGTCAGATCCTTGATTTGGGGCAAATCATGCAATGATCACATGTCTGTGGGGACCCCAGTCATTATTGGCTGCAAATCAAGTGTCTATGGGGGGTCCCAGTCACGGTAAGCTCAAAGATGTGTGTTTTGTAGGGGACCCCAGCCATTGTATGCTGAAAGACATATGACTTTTGGGGGCCCCAGCAACTGTTAACTCAAAATCAGATTTCTATAGGGCCCTCGGTCCCTGTTAGCTGAAAGTCCGATATCTATGGGGGGGCCGCAACCACTGTTAGCTGAAAGTTATATTTCTATGAGGGACCCCAGCAACTCTTAGCTGAAAGTTATATTTCTATGAGGGACCCCAGCAACTCTTAGCTGAAAGTTATATTTCTATGAGGGACAGCAACTCTTAGCTGAAAGTTGTTATGTCTGTTGGGGGACAGCCACTGTTGACTGAATGTTGTGTCTGTTTCGGGGCCCCAGTCACTTAACTAACTGAAAGTTGTATTGTCTATCGGGGCCCCAGACACTGTTAACTGAAAGGAATATGTCTATGGGGGGCCCCCAGCAACTGTTAACTGAATGTTATTTGTCTATTAGGGGCCCCAGCCACTGATGACTGAACATTGTCTATTGGGGGGCCCCAGTTACTGTTAACTGAAAGTTTATATGTCTACCGGGGCGCTAGCCACTGTTGACTGAAAGTTATATGTTTATTGGGGGCCCCAACCACTGTTAACTGAAAGTTGTTTATTGGGGGGCCCCAGCCACTGTTGACTGAACATTGTGTGTCTATTTGGGGCCCCAGCCACTGTTAACTGAAAGTTATGTTTATTGGGGGGACCCCAGCCACTGTTGACTGAACGTTGTGTCTCTATTTGGGGCCTCAGTCACTGTTGACTGAAAGTTATGTTTTTATTGGGGGACTCCAGCCACTGTTGACTAAACGTTGTGTCTCTATTTGGGGCCCCAGTCAATGTTAACTGAAAGTTGTTTATCTGTGGGGGGCCCCAGCCACTGGTAGCTCAAAGTTCTATGTCCTAGCTTAAAGTGTATGTGGGTCCTGAGTCGCTGTCAGTTGAAAGACATACAGGTGAAACTCGAAAAATTTGAATATTGTGCAAAGGTTGATTTATTTCAGTAATGCAACTTAAAAGGTGAAACTAATATATGAGATGGACTCATTACATGCAAAGCAAGATAGTTCAAGCCGTGATTTGTCATAATTGTGATGATTATGGCTTACAGCTCATGAAAACCCCAAATCCACAATCTCAGAAAATTAGAATATTACATGCAATCAATAAAACAAGGATTGTACATAGAACAA